CGACCACAAAACAATCGTTTCAATGCTTTCAAGCGCCGCCCTTTTTAAGGACATGGCCGGGCATCAACTCAGACCAGGGCAAACAACAACAACCAAAAGAACTCTCACAAGACACAATAGAGGAACAGGTAAGCAAAACAGTTCCCGCTACAAGTATTAATTTAAACGACTTGCACAAACGGGTTGAACAATTTAGAGCAGGGCAAGTGAGACACCATCTGCCCTTTTGGGAATCATTAACTAATGACCCAGTTATCTTGGATGTCACAAAGCATCACCATATAGAGTTTGAGGCGGCGTACCCAACACAGAGAGTTCAACCTAATAAAATCAATTTCTCAGCTGCTGAAATCATGATTATTGACGCAGAAATTGCTAAGCTTGTTAGCAAAGAAGTTCTTCAGGTTACCAACTGTGTAACTGATGGTTTTATTTCAAATATCTTCATTCGTCCTAAAAAGGATGGTGCTTTCCGGATGATACTCAATCTGAAACCGCTTAATAAGTTTGTCGATTACCACCATTTCAAAATGGACACATTTCGTACTGCCCTCAAGCTCATCCGACCTGGATGCTCTATGGCATCTGTAGATCTCAAGGATGCCTATTATTCCATTCCCATAGCAGAGGAAGACAGAAAGCTCCTCAAGTTTCAGTGGAAAGGGAAATACTATCAACTTACATGCTTACCTAACGGTCTATCATCTGCCCCCAGAATTTTTACTAAAATCCTCAAACCGGTCTATGCCCGATTACGTTCGATTGGCCATACATGTATGGGACATATTGATGACTCCTTACGTGTTGGTCAGAGTTTCGATGCATGTCATAGAAATATAGCAGATACTGTTTATTTGTTTACTAACATTGGCTTCACTATCCACCCGGTGAAGTCTGTGCTCCAGCCCCAGCAAAAAATTGATTTTTGGGGTTTTGTACTGGGCAGTAGCACTATGACAGTAACCCTCACACATTCCAAAGCCATGAAGGTCAGATCTGCTTGTCAAAACTTGCTGCCCCAAAAAACAGCCACTATACGCAGTGTCGCACAGGTCATAGGCTTCCTTGTTTCTAGCTTTCCTGCTGTGGAATTTGCTGAAATGCACTATAGGCATTTGGAGCTTGACAAAATTTGTGCACTCCGTGCCAACAAAGAGAACTTTGACAGCACTATGACCTTGTCTGCCCAGTCTAAGACCGAGTTGACGTGGTGGATAGATAATGTCCCGATTGCATCTAAACCTAACCTCACTCTGACCTCACTCTAACTACTGATGCCTCAAAATTGGGTTGGGGAGCCGTCTGCGGAGAAACCTCCACAGGGGGATTTTGGAGTCTTGAGGAACAAAGATACCACATAAAGTTTCTTGAATTGAAAGCCGTTTTATTGGGTCTGAAATCCCTCTGTGGTGCTTTCAGTGAGAAACACATTCTCGTTCAGACCGATAACACCACTGCTGTAGCATACATAAATGCAATGGGAGGTATTAAATACCATGCAATGAAATAGCAACCGTTATATTGGGCTGGTGTCAAAACCACGACATCTGGCTCAGTGCCACCCATATCCCCGGGTCTGAAAATATTCAAGCTGACAAGGAATCAAGGGTACTCAAGGAGTCTACTGAATGGTACTTGTCCCAGGAGGTTATGAATGCTATACAGGAACGGTGGGGCAAGTTTAACATTGACCTGTTGCCTCTAGACTTAACTTTAAGGTCCCTCAATGTGTTTCATGGAGACCTGACCCTGGGGCACAGTTTATTAACGCTTTTCTCATGAATTGGAAACTTTATTACTTTTATGCTCTCCCACCCTTTAGCCTCCTTGCTACCTGCCTACAGAAGATAGAGCAGAATCAATCAACAGGAATCCTCATTGTGCCAATGTGGACAACTCGACCTTGGTTTACATTCCTCTTGCACCTTCTGATCGACAACCCCTTAACACTTCCCCAGACTGACAATCTTTTGTTCCTGCCCCACAGCAATGCCACTCATCCTCTCAGCAGACGGTTGCAATTAATGGCTCGCAAAGTATCAGGGAGTCCTTCCAACAGAGAGATATTTCAAGCAAAGCTACCAGCATCATCCTGCAGTCTTGGTCAACTGGTACCCAAAAACAATATGCCCCATATATCAAGCAACGGCATGACTTTTGTTCTAAACGGGATGTTAATTCATACAGCCCACCTTTAAATACAGTGCTGGATTTCCTAGTCAGCTTGCATGAACAAGGCTTATCGTACACTACCATCAACACAGCAAGAAGTGCTCTGTCAGCTATTATTCTTCCCACTGACAATGTCAACCTACGAAGCCACCCCCTTTGTCTCCCGCTTCATGAAAGGTATCTTCAAGAACAACCCACTTGCCCCACGTTATCACACTACATGGGATCTTCGCCCAGTCCTTTCTTATTTGTCATCGTTGTCAAAGCCAAATCAATCTAGTCTGAAAACGTTGACTCTGAAGTTAGTGATGCTAATTGCACTAGTTTCAGCACAACGAGGGCAGAGCCTCCATATGCTAGACATCCAGTTCATGAAAGAAGGGGTCAGCTTTTTTGAGTTTGCTCTCCCAGAGCATATAAAACAAAGCCGACCGGAATATAAAGTACCATCAGTGCTTTTACAAGCCTTCCCTGCAGACCAATCTCTCTGTGTATTTACCCACCTGAAAGAATATCTGCAGAGGACCAAGTGTTTGAGAGGTACTGAGACAAAGCTCTTCATTAGGCATGCAAAGCCACATCACCGTGCTTCTCGAGATACCATATCAAGGTGGATTCGTTCTGTAATGGCAGAGGCTGGTATTGATGTCACCACCTTTAAACCTCACAGTACAAGAGCAGCAGCAGCATCGAAAGCTAAAAATGTATCTGCACCAGTGAAGGAAATTTTAGACACTGCTGGCTGGTCTTCAGATAGGACATTTGATCGCTTCTACAATAAACCCTTTCAAAAGGCTGGTGGTTTCGCTACATCTGTACTCACAATTGACTAACTAGAGTTGGACTTTGCTGTCCCCCCGTAGCGAGGGTGACTTGAGGTTTCTAATGGTTTAAGGTGGCTCAATAGGGTTTTTTGGCCGGGCGAAGAATGGGTACGAAAATGGCGCGAGCTTTTAAATGGTATCAAATATGTAAAGAAACATGGCGGCTTCACGCGAGTGCACAATTTTTGTCACATAATCGCGAAGTTTAGTTGACGAGAGTGAAACGGCATCGATACTTTCCAGTAATCAGCACAATATTGACAGTGAAAGACCAGAGGTTTACACAACGCCTACGCAACATCCGTAATGCGTCAGATCGCTTTCGGAAAGTGGAAGCGATCGAAACCAGAAAAGAAACAAAAATAAAAAGGTTACACGGAGGGTTCAAAACGTGGAATGCCAAAAGGAAGCTCCAGTATGATAACATATCCAAGGAAAACGAACCCCCAGCAAAACGAATGACACGAGCACGTGAGGTCAGTACATTTTTCTTTATTCGGAAGTCTTAATTTTTGGTAAGATTTTCCTGTCAAGCTTGTCCTAATTATCGGCCTACCTGTTCTGTTGACTCCAACCCTGATTCCCATCAGCAGAATAAAGCTAAGAGGAAGGCGAACCTGCCACAAGGATCCAGACTGGTGGACTTAGAAACCCTTACAGATGGTCTGAAGGAATGTTTATTTTGTCATTACGGTAAATTCTCACTATTTTTAACTGCACTATAGCATATTTTACACCATTATCATATAAAAGAACATAAGTTTATAACACCTAA